TTTGGTGTATTTTGCGGTTGTTGTTGTTGATGAGGTTGAGGTATTAAATTGGTGTGCTGGATAGATTGCTGCTGCTGCTGCTGCTGGATTTGTTGCAGTTGTTGTTGTTGTTGTTGTTGTGATTGGTGATGCTGATGATTCTGAATGTTTTGTTGATGCTGTTGTTGAACGGCATGAAGTTGTTGCACGATTGAGTGCTGTTGTTGTGCGGCGAATAGCTGAGAGAGTTGTAGTAAGGTGGCCGCATCGGTCATTCCGGCTAACGGATTGAACGCAGCAGCAGCCGATAAATGCGATGAGAGTGCCGCACTTGACGGATCGAACAGAGAGGCGAGTTGTGCAGTTGCACCGGCGCCACCTCCACCACCACTACTTCCCGGTGAAGCGCAGTTAATCGCAGACGGAATTCCGGCCGTACCAAACAGAGACGCTAAATCGGCGGCAACTGAAGCTGCGGCAGCTTGCGCAGCCGTCATACCATTGGTGGTGCCGTTACCATTCGACGGGCTAAAAATTGAGGTTGTTTGCGGAGCTGTTCCGGCAACACATCCACCGGAAGCCGCTAGTGTGCCTCCACCGTTTGCGAGCATTTTCGTGAGCGATCGGTCGCGTCGTCTTCTTTCTTCACTTTTGCTTTAGGATCAGCGAGAATGGAACAGTTTACGATGGACAGAACGAATGTGGATGGATGGATTGGAGAAGAGATAGGAATGGTGTTGACGAGGGAATGATTCTGACTGAATAAAGGACAGGAAACGTTGAAATGCGAAGTTTGCACGATGAATCCGAGAAAATTTGATCGTTTTGTTTCTGCGTTGCTATAGATGGCGCAACGTTTCTGTGTCCCTTTGCACAAACGAATCACAAAACGAACGATACGATATGTACTGAAAATTAAGAAAAATCAGCACTTTTTGGAAAATCCAAAAGATTTTCATCGAACATGAATTCACAATAACGCGTACTCGCAACATTCGCATAAATACAAATTTCCCTATTGATAGTAGGAAAAGATTAATTGTAAATGAAAGAAATGTGAATGAACCAATGGTCAAGCAGTAGCTCAACAATCTTCAAAACGAATTGAAAAACAACCGAACAATAATAAATGAGCCGTATCATTACATGGAAGTTCCTCCAATGGCTCAAAAACACTTCCATAATCAATCTCAAAAAATGGTATTGTTCATTTCTCGATAAAAATTTCTTAAAAATCCGCGACACGCCACACGGTTGAATAGGAATGAGTTGAGCAAGGATAGTTGGGCATCGTGTGCAAAACAGCGGAATAGAATCATCGAAAAAAGCGTCAGGCAATTACATGAATAAACTTTCGTGACAATTTTTTGTGTAGACGAGTGTAATCGCACTGTCGATGTTGACAA